TAATAAAAGCAACATTAATATAAGCATTAGCAACAAAAATATGAAATAAATAAGAAGTAATATAGACAAAAATTCAACAGATTACATCTTGTTTTGTGTGCGTGCTAACAACATTTAAAAAATTCAGGTGCAACTAATATAAATTTTTGATCAATTTTCCCCCGAAGCCTCCATGATATGGCTTGGTGACGACTTCGCCCCGGATACACATTTTAAGTTTGATCGCTCATGAAATATTAGAAATCAACGAAAATGAAAAAATTTTCACTGGATTCGTATTCAGCATGCATTACTTTACAGAATCACTTGAGATTCGGAGAGAAAATAATGTTTATAAAATATTTAAAATTTTCGACACGTAAAAAATTTTACTTTTGACCTCCAAAAACACGTTTCCCTTAATGAAAATCGCAACATGACATATAATTTCACTAAACTCCGTTGGTCACATGGGCACCATAAGTAGTGTTTACAATATTAATGGCGAGTTCACACAACATACAGATTTCGAGATAATTGTAGTGACGACTCCGCCCCAGGGTCTCCCCTAATAATAAAGGAAATTTTCTTTATTTTAATAAATGGAGTGACAGTTGTATGCAAACTATATAATATTTACTAAAATCTAGAACTTTTCTTCTTACAAAAGAATCTCGCGAACTCGAAAATGCTGATTTTAATGAAACTTTCCACACATGTAGGAGAAGCAAAAAGATGAATTTAGAAATTTTGTTGCCCTAAAACGGTTCTAAAGGGTGAAACTACCCCTAATATGTAAAGGCGGCTTTTTACTTTTCTCGATATATCTTGAAAAATATTTAAGATATCACACATAAAATGTTTCATATAAAAGATATAAAAGTTTTAGGTAAAGTTGCAGATGTACTGCCTCACTCAAAAGTGGAATTTAAAAATTCGTTTTTGACGTATTTTTGACTGCTGATAACGAATATCGTAATAAAATTTGGCGGTCGGATATATTAGAGCCACCATTTTAAAAAAAACGTCGAAAAACGGACGTGGCAGGATACTGATCCCTTCGGGGTGTTGGTTTAAAGTGAGTAATTCTCTTGCCTCTCACGTGTGTGTGTGTGTGTGTGTGTGTGTGTGTGTGTGTGTGTGTGTGTG